AATTTACCATCTACATGACATCAACGCATCACTGACTCTGTCCTATCCATTTGTTTATTTGTTTATTGAAGGACCTCCATTCGTCTCTCCATTGTGCAGACTACTCTTCCTGGTGTCCACTCTTCAAAATAAAAGCAGTACATGAAGTAAATTACATTAAGAATTAATAAATACCAACAATTGCTCTCCTAGGAGAAACAGGCAGAAAACACAGAAGTGAGTCAGTGCTTGGTTAACATTAACCATGTGTAATTTTCATTTGCAAACATTGATTTCTCAAGATTTTTTTTTATTTTATTTTTTTTTATAATTGTGTATCAGCATCATTTGTTGATGCAGTTTATTCCAGTGAGAAATGGTTGTGTATACAAAAATACTTTTCAGTGCATCAGTTGTTGGTCTAAGCAAAGGTTGCATAGGAGACTTGTGTTGTGTTCACGAGTCTCCGCCCATGTTCCAGGTGGGCTGTATCAGTGAGGACAGGCTCAGAGGTCTGTGTGTGGTCCAGACTTTATATAAAGACACAACAAAACTACAGTCTGTCTTTCACTTTGATCCGTCACACTCTCTGCTGCATAGCATTGACATGAGTCCTGAGAGGGCTGCTGAGAGCGAGTTGTTCAGCTCCATTCTGAAGTCTCTGGAGTTTGTCCAGCTCCTTGTTGGCAGCACTAGACCACACAAAAGGACACGAGTCCATATGAGATAAAACGAGACAATGGATTACAACTTTTCTCTCTTCAGTTGGCAGAAAATGGGCATTTCTTCTAATTATTGAACTATTTCTACTCATCTAGTCTGCTGTTTTCTGAGTTTGACCATTTCACGTGTGATGGTCACGTGTGATGGTGTCACGTGTGATAGTCTCACATGTGATGGTCACTGTGGTCCTCTGTGTGCATCCTGTTATGTGGAATGTCCATTTCTAAATCATAATTTTGGATTGAAAACCACACACAAGTATGTCTAGGTAGACTTAAGTGCATATGACAGTTTAGGCTACTCACTAAAATATACTTAACATCACATTATTATAGTCTCTTTATTTATGTATTTATTTGAACAAGGGCCAGAACATGTGGAAATTACACAATAGTTAGGATTAAAGTCAAAATGTGAAATGCAAACACCTTTGATTTGTTCATTGTATGTTTAAAGTGTCAGAAAAAATCTTCGATATGCACTTGAAATCTATTTGTTTTCCTTCATTATGCCTCCTGTGTGATCTGCTCACGTCTACACATTTGTAATCATACATTGTGCTGCTTTTCAGCCCTGACACTTTCCTCCAGTGCACACTCTGCTGATTCTTGTGGGAGGGGCCAAGCATCACTTTCAGCCTGCAGATCAGAACAATGACAAAAGGACATATATACAAGTGTTTCTAGGGCTGAGGTTTAGGTAGTGTCCATTCAGATTAGACAGAGTCATTTTAGGTTTAAACACACTGGATTCCAGCTTTACAGGGCCTCTTTATAAAAGCACAAATGAAGGATTTATGTCAAAGTTTTGTTCTCTACACAGACTGCTGGCATTAGCAGGAGGTCAGGTGCTGTTGGAGCTTAAGACCCACATGAAAATGAAAAACATACACACAACATCATCATTTAGTGCAAAACAAATCATTTATTTCACAGTCCAAAAGTCTGTCACCTTTGAGTGGCAGGTACGACAGGCCTGTGGGTCCAGTCCAGTGACTGTGTTCTTGTGTTCTTGTGTGTTTACTTCACACTTCATACACAAACATTACTGAATCACTTTAAAGTGGGACTAAACACTAAATCAATAAATCAACTTTTGTATGGTGTATGGTGTTTTAATAGCACTGTCTACTGCCCCCAGTCACTTTTGGGAGATTTAGTGCAAACTACTAACATCTGATTAAAAAAAAAAAAAACAGCAGTGATTACAGTTAGGTATTTCTGATACGAACACCTGGCTGCAGCAGGGTCAGAGTTGAAGTGTGGATACCTGTTAGACCAATCACACTGTTCCTCATATGTCCAGACCCCGCCCCTCCTCCCCCCGTCACTCTCCCCTTTAGTCCTCCAGACCCCCTTCCCCCGTCACTCTCCCTTTTAGTCCTCCAGACCCCCTTCCCCCACACTCTCCCCTTTAGTCCTCCAGACCCCCCTTCCCCCACACTCTCCTCTTTAGTCCTCCAGGTCCTGCCCAGTTCAGAAGCTGTGTTTGACATGTGGCTGTGGCTTGAGTTTAGGTGTTTAGTCCCACTTTAAATGATTAAACAGATTTGATACGGGCTCTGTCAGCCAGTGGATAAAGCAGTAGTCACATTTTATATAACTGTATTTCATAATATGCATTTACAGTATTTTATCACAAAATATTCACAGGGCTTGGATCCTACATTCCTAACAAAAATATCATGAGTTTGTTTCCTTTTGTCACTCTTTTTGTGTAGTGACTTGTCCCTTGTTTGAGTGAAGGCAAACACGTGAGCGCTGATTCCAGATCAGCTCTTTACAGTGAGGGGCTGTACGTGTGAGGGCCAGGAGGGGGCGCTGTGGCAGACAGGAGCCAGCCTGTCCTTTCTGTATGTACAAGTTTGTTGGGTAAGGCCAGGTTAGTGCAAACATCAACACTGGGAGACTTGACTGTTCAAACAGCTGACATTTGTCCACACACAAAATAAACCCACAGTTTAAAGCTCATGAAGAGTCAAAACATGTCATGATTCTATTTGTTAAAAAGCACTATGTGTCTGAAGGCTCCAAACGCTCTATTCTCCATGAAGATGGAAACTTCCACAAAAATGGCATAACCCTTAGCAATGAGCACATAAACACGCAGGCGACCCTACCAAACCACGTACACACTGATAGAAAATACATCTGCAATTAAAGAAATGGAATATTCAGATGTTAAAGGAACTCTATGTAGCCTGCACGCTTACGTTAACGGGGCACAGTTGAGTCATGTTTATGAGATTTAAAATCAAACTCTTACATACAGTTCCTTTAATGGCGTACTGCGCCCATCCAGGCAGAGCAATAACATCTCCAGGAGACAAACTAGTGATAGTCATTCCACTAGAAAAGTTACACAGCGCACCTTTAAATGTGTCTGTTTTACTCAAAAGAATCTGATTCAAACATGCACATTCTCCTCACTCTTCAGTTTGAGGAGGGTAATGAAACTACAATAAAATATTACACTACATCTGCATTTAAACTGGTTTAACACAGTGCCTCAAACACAGGAGGACGTGTGGGGTCCACTCCTTTGTTCAAATGCTCTAAATGAAACAATCAGCAACGTCTGGCTCCGCCCCTGAGCGCAGCCCTAAGCCACACCCACACAGAGGCTTTAAATACTATCCCTACAATGTTCTGTTGACTGGAGGAAAAGGGAAAAACATAACAGATTATCAGTGATGAACTGACCCAGATCTAAACTGTATAATAACATACACTCCAGAATGTCCAGCACTGATATAAACTAACAGTAAAACTTTCACTAGAAGTGTGTCATCTCTTATTAAATAGTCTAATAATGTCAAGGTTAATGGTTTTTTTTTACTTGCTCAAATATCAGTTACATGTAGTTGTGTTTTCATTTACCAGAATTAAATTTGTATTTCACAGTTTCAGACTCTGAGGCCTGCTGACATGATGTTCCACATTTTTTGCCTCCTGTTGTCATTCTGGAACCTTCTATAGACATGTGTGAACAGTACAAGGATCTTCAAGCAGTTTATGAACAGAACATTATACTGAGACTCCTGTAACCATGAAGAACCATGAAGAACCATGAAGAACCATGAAGAACAATGAAGAACCATGAAGAACAATGAAGGCTCATGAAGAACCATGGAAGCCTATGGAAGGAGACCAATCAGAAGAGACACTCTGGTGACTAGGGACATCATGTGATTCTGATATCTGATCATTGTGATTATAGTGGTTGCAATAAAATGGTAAGAAATATAAATTTGTAAGAATTCATGAAAAGAAACATGATTTATAAGAAAGTAAGAAAGATAATATTCATTAGAATTTTAGAAACAAAATAAGTAATTTCAATTAAATGTAAACAGCCAAAAAGTCAACCTGAATCTTATCTCAGCAGATTTTATCTGTGCACTTATGCTGCACTAACAGGATATTAGCATTCAGACAGTTTGATTCAATGAAGTGAGTCCAGTACTGCAGTACAATACTGCAGTACAATACTGCAGTACAATACTGCAGTACAATACTACAGTACAATACTACAGTACAATACTACAGTACAATACTGCAGTACAATACTACGGTACAATACTACAGTACAATACTATAGTACAATACTGCAGTACAATACTGCAGTACAATACTGCAGTACAATACTACAGTACAATACTGCAGTACAATACTACAGTACAATACTACAGTACAATACTGCAGTACAATACTGCAGTACAATACTACAGTACAATACTACAGTACAATACTGCAGTACAATACTACAGTACAATACTGCAGTACAATACTGCAGTACAATACTGCAGTACAATACTACAGTACAATACCACAGTACAATACTGCAGTACAATACTGCAGTACAATACTACAGTACAATACTACAGTACAATACTACAGTACAATACTGCAGTACAATACTACAGTACAATACTGCAGTACAATACTGCAGTACAATACTGCAGTACAATATTACAGTACAATACTACAGTACAATACTGCAGTACAATATTACTGTACAATACTGCAGTACAATACAGCAGTACAATACTACAGTACAATACTGCAGTACAATACTACAGTACAATATTACTGTACAATACTGCAGTACAATACTGCAGTACAATACTACAGTACAATACTGCAGTACAATACTGCAATACAATACTACAGTACAATACTGCAGTACAATACTGCAGTACAATACTGCAGTACAATACTTCAGTACAGTACTGCAGTACAATACTGCAGTAATGAGTATCAGCTATAACTGCAGTGAATGAAGGACTCACTGTGGTTTCAGCATGATGTGTCTGTACTGGTGTCTATAATAGTGTGTAATAGTAATAGTAATAGTAATAGTAATAGTAATAGTAATAGTAATAGTAATAGTAATAGTGTTTGTAAGTGTCTGTAACAGTGTGAGTAATGGTTCAGTTGGAGTATTTCTTTCCACAATAACAGACAACACTAGAGTAGATATGTTGACATCCCTCGTCATGACCAGTGTTGGGAAGTAACTGAACATGTACCAAGAATATGTATTCTGAATACTCATTATCTGTACTCCAGTACTTTTTCATTTGGTGGTGTTCAGAATACAGTTACTTTCTCAAATGAAAACACATCATACATGTTAATGCTTCATCATGCAATTTTTGTTTTGAACTGTGCAGTATTAATGAGAAAAATGGAACATTTCGCAATTTTTCATCTTAACCATAAATGATGTTGTAATGCAACTTGTGTAAAAGTATCGCAAGTATTCAGAACACAGTACTCTGATAGGACCATGTATCAGAATACATTACAACACATTTTAATACAGGTTGGGCCTGGTTAGTACTTGGATGGAGACCACTGGGAAAATCAGGAGCCACAGTGGGACCAGTCCTTAGGCAAGGCACTTCCCCCACCCATTTCAGTATGAAAGTGGTGTGTGTGAGTGATGGTGGTGGTCGGAGGGGCCGATGGTGCAGATTGGAAGCCTTGTTTCAGTCAGCCTGCCCCAGGGCAGCTGTGGCTACAGTACCAACTTGCCACCACTGAGTATGGAGTGAATGACAACAATGAACACAACAACACAACAATGAACTGAAATCATTTGGATGTCTTGAAAGGAGCTATATAAATCCATTCATTAATTCATTATTTAAAAACTAAAAACAAACATTTCAAAGTACTCATCTTTCCATCACGGGTCATGACATGAGCTGCTTTGGGAGTTCGCAGCAGCCTGTCCACTTGCCTGAGACCCACAATACTGATGCACTTATTAACTTATTATCTTATTTTTTTTCTAATTTTTTGTTCTATCTGGAGTTACCAGGCTCGATCTCCACAGTCAAGTGGTGAAGTGTATTTTAATATGTGCACTAACTAACTAAACCCAGCCCATGTATCACTCTGTCATAGTTTTGACAACAGGAGTTAGCAGTTAGTCAGTCACACTTGCAAACACGCACTTCACCTTTTCACAGTTGTGTTAAAGAGGCCACTCTTCACAAAATATGTCTCATTTTGTCTAAAATAAGATATGGGGTTTACATACACTGCTCATGTGAGTGGAACTGCTCGTTCTCTGAACGCACATACGTTTATTCTACTCACTCAGAGAAGGCATTGTGGGTAGATACTGTTTTCCTGGAGTGAGAAAGTGCCTACTCAACTCTCTACTGTTGAATGTAGTCAGTATTTCAAATGGTCACTGAGAATAGCACTGCAAAATCTGACTTGTTTTTAGTCTTTTTGACAAATATAAGGTTTACAATTTTTCAAATTCTTAACTCAAGAGTAACAAAATCCCACTTGAAATATTTTTGCTTTGAAATAATCATAAAAAACTTCACAAAGTCTCAAAATTATTCATTGAATTCAAGTCATTTTAACACATGGAGAAGTCCTATTGTAGCAGTGCAGAGTGCATATGGGCCAGCAGGTACGCCCCCTAGAGGCCGGGGCGTTGGCTTGAGGTCAGCTGAGGTGTGGGCAGCTCAGGGGGGCGGGGGTCAGAAGATGTTGGGGCACATCCTCCAGTCCTGCTTGTCCTTGGACTCCCAGTAGCCGCCCCTGTAGACGTAGTTGATCTCCCCGGTGATGGAGCAGCGTCTCTGGGTGAACCACAGCGGCTGATAGCCCTCGTACTCGCGGCCTGTCCAAGCACACGCACACACGTAAGCACAGGGCAGAAATACGAGCAGAGTCGGAATCTACAACTATTTACCACACATGTCCATTTTGACTCGAAATGAAGCCAAAATGTTTAATGTACACAAGTACTCAAGACTTGTAAAAGAGATAAGAATACACATTATAAACAGAGGTGGGTAGAGCAGACAAAAATTGCACTTAAAGAAGAGTAATGTTACTTTAAAATTGTAGAAGTAGAAGTATAAAGTAATGGTCCAAGAAACTCAAATAAGTGTATTTGGAAAAAGTACTACTCAAGAGTAACTGTCAAACCGTAACATCTGATTTATAATTTGAAGTTATTGTAATTTGAAAGACACAAAATCTGGTATTTTCAAAGGACAGACACAAAAATGAGACAAACTAAGGCTGCGTTCAGACTGCAGCCTGAAGTGACCCAAATCAGATGTTTTGGCCCCTGTGTTCCTGTATCTGATCTTTTAATGACAGTCTGAACCACACAGATCCGATTTTTTCAAATGTGACCCAGGACACTTGGATATGTGCTCCTAAAACCGATACATATCTGATCTTTTGACATGTGACTTCAGTCTGAACGGCCAAGGCGCATTTATTCAACTTACATGTTATCACACGGTGAACTTGTCTATGCCAAAGAGGTTAGCTATTGTGCGGTAACAAGCACCTGTTGCAATCCAATGCAGACGCGTTTGCTCACGGAAACAAGCCGCCAAAGATGTGTTTCCTCCCGCAAGAGTGGCACAAGTCGGCGCTCACAAATGTACACAAACGTTCTTCTCGTCATACGAAAATTGTTAATGAACTCCGTGTCACTGAAGTGAAGTGAAGCACATCTCTCTCCCACCACTCTTGTCTACGTCTCCACATCCACACGTTCCTTTCAACAGACTGTCCCACAAAACACCATGACCAAAAACCTCGTCCTTCTCCTTCTCAATCTTCTTTTTAAAACAAGTAAGTTGTTCATGTTCTGGCTCTGGTACGAGAGGAACTTTAAAATCTCCAGGTGCTCGATGCTGCGTCCATGTTTGGACAACTTCTGTAAACACAGAGCACGCTCGCTGTGGTTGACGTCATCGTGTCTCCAGTGCACATGCGGGACACTTTTGGGCCGTTTAATGTTCACACTGGAGTCACATTCAAGTCACATTTAATTGGAAATGTGAACGACCTCGCAAAAACATCGGATTTCACGATAAGAAATCCGAACTGAGTGTTAAGCCCTGCAGTCTGAACGTAGACTAAATCACATTTGAAGGAGCTGCAACAAATGTTCAGATGATTACATATTGTCACTTAAAACTTTTGTCACTTTAGACTTACTCACAGTGGGAAGAGGAACCACAACTTTTACTCAAGTAAGAGTACTGTTACTAAGGAATGCTGCTTGAAAAGTACTTTGAAAAAATTATTTATAGGAGTTACACGAGTAAATATAACTAAGCACTACCCACCTTTGTAAGTAATAATTTCATGTTTTGATTCAAAGATTCATTGTTATAAGAAATGAACAACTTCAAGTCTTACCAGAAGAAATATGTATGTTGCCATTTAAAGGTGCACTATGTAACATATTCTAGTGGATGGTCAGCCACCTTTGCCTGGAATTTTCCACAGTATGGCATTAATGAGTTTTTATACATTTTTGGAGCTCTCTACTATGTCATAATGTCCGCTCACAAAAACGCCTGAAGAGGTTTAAGAGTCATCCATGCATGTTTGAGTAATCTAGTGATCTCTCCTGGGCCCTACTCAAACGATCCTTATTGTTAGCAGTACAAGTCTGTACAAGGCTCCGCCCACAAGCCTATGAAAGATAAAAGAAAGATACGTTTATTTCCATACTACGAAAAACATCAGGCAAAACAATATCTCCACAGATTCAAGTATGTGACAGACATCCCACAAAAGTCCCAGAGTGCACCTTTAAATGTGTGTGCTTAAACGCTGCCATGAGCACGTGATGAGGAGTGAAGCAGTGATGACATAAACACGTGCAAATCCCACACAGATGGACAAAAGGACAGACTCACCAAAGTCACACTCACACTCTGACCACCAGGGGGAGCACAGGAGAGACAGCACTATGTTAAAGTCCAGTGCAGGTTATGGGGCGGGTTCTAGGGTCTTATAATACAATGGCTGCTAAAGCGTCTCTATAGGCCGTGGTGAATAGAGCAGTGCAGGTCTATGAGGAGCACTGGGCTCGGAGATCTTGTCTGGGACACTGGAGTGTGAAGGTTGTGGGGGTGAGGGGTTGGGGGTTTACATTGGTATAAACTAAGGCTAAACTAGCACTAAAACAAGACTAACAAGGACGAGAATAGAACACTTAACTAAACTAAGCCTTAATTCCATATAAACCAGGATTAAACCAGATCCTAAAGACTAAACTATGCACTAAACCAGGTCTAAACCCTGACTAAACCAGGTCTAAACCAGGTCTAAACTGGGTTTAAACCAGGTCTAAACCAGGACTAAACCAGGTCCAAACTAAGTCTAACACTTTAGTCCTGATGTATGCTTAGGTTAGGTCCTGTTCTAGTCCTGGTCTATTCCTGGTCTAGTTTTGGGGTAGTTAATCTTTAGACACAGTTAAGTAATAATTTTGATGTTGTATTAGTATATGTGCAATATGTGCATGTGTGAATGCACCCTTGACCAGGTCTAAACCTGGACCAAACCAGATCTAAACCTGGTCTAAACAAACCCAAACCAGGGCTAAAACGGCTCTAAATCAGGACTAAGCCAGTATTCAACCAGCATCAACCCAGTACTAAACCAAGCCTAAATTCCAAATAAAACAGGATTAAACCAGATCCTATAAGACTAAACCAAGTCTAAACCCTGACTAGAGCAGGTCTAAATCCTCAATAAACCAGGTCTAAACCAAGACTAAACCCAGACTAAAATAGGTTTACATCAGGTCTAAACCAGGTCTAAACCCAGACTAAACCAGGTCTAAACCCAGACTATACCAGGTCTAAACCCAGACTAAACCAGGTCTAAACCAGGTCTAAACCCAGACTAAACCAGGTCTAAACCCAGACTATACCAGGTCTAAACCCAGACTAAAGCAGGTTTAAACCCAGACTAAAGCAGGTCTTAACCCAGACTAAAGCAGGTCTAAACCAGGTCTAAACCCAGATCTAAACCGTGTCTAAACCCAGACTAATCCAGGTCTAAACCCAGACTAATGCAGGTCTAAACCCAGACTAAAGCAAGTCTAAACCCAGACTAAAGCAGGTCTTAACCCAGACTAAAGCAGGTTTAAACCCAGACTAAAGCAGGTCTTAACCCAGACTAAAGCAGGTCTTAACCCAGACTAAAGCAGGTCTTAAACCCAGACTAAAGCAGGTCTTAACCCAGACTAAAGCAGGTCTTAACCCAGACTAAAGCAGGTTTAAACCCAGACTAAAGCAGGTCTTAACCCAGACTAAAGCAGGTCTTAACCCAGACTAAAGCAGGTCTTAACCCAGACTAAAGCAGGTCTAAACCCAGACTAAAGCAGGTAACATGTCTATCTTAGCCTGGAGAGTTAACTGTGGTGTGGTGTAGTTACCTTCACCGTGAGCGTCTGCAGCGTCTGCCTCCCTCCTCCTCCTCACGGCTCTCTGCTTCTCCTCCAGTCTCTGCTTCTCTGCGTTGGCTTCGTCCCAGCGGCCGTCCTCCATGAGCCTCTGGTCGGGCCTGAGGCGGCTGTCCGTCAGAGCCACGCCCTCCTCCGGCTCATTCAGCGTCAGGGCGAGAGACGAGAAGTGGTACATCTTCTCTGCGTTCTCCCTGGACCACACCACCACAACAGAACATCATGACCATCAAGGCTTTCAATGCAATCTGTCAAACCTCCAGCTGGGACTGTTTTAAAGCTCCGAAATTACACAAAGTGGATCATGTTAGAATGTTGTGCTTTATTTCATTCACACGTGTTTGAGGAAGCCTTTATTATGAGTCTGTCTACATCTCCAAAGCTCAATCTTGTGATGTCATGTAGCAGTAGTTTTCACGTTAGCTGCCTTTCACCTTTTGTTCAGTAGAGATTGGCAATTCTCAGGATGAAATTATTATTCTTGTGAAGGTGCATGAAATTTAAAAACACAGTTGATCACGTCCTGTGTTACCACATGACATCACACAGTGGAACAGAGTGCTGAGAGAGAGAAGGACTCTAAATGTGCAGGTTTGCGTGTTAAACATGTGTGAATGAAACAAAACACAACTCCAGGTCTGTTTGTGATGAGGAAACATTATAACATAGATCAGCTCATATAACCTCCTCCAAAACTGTGCATGCACCACACACACACAAAAAAAAAAGCACACAAGTGAAAACTAGAGACGACAGAACTATGAGAGCTGGAAACCTCACACTTTGAACACCTACTTATTCCTTTAAGTCAAGGGTGTCAATCTTATTTTGGTTCGGGGGTCGTATCCAACCTACTTTGATCCCAAAGGGGCCAGATCAGAAAACTCATGTCATATAAACCCCAAAAATAACAATAAGTTTAAATATTTGTGCAGAGAAACACAAATCTATTACAGAAATCTTTTTTAACTGATAAACTCTTTCTTTTACAAAACATTATAATATTATGAAAAACCTGAAACTTTAAGAAAAAATAAATTTCAACACAATGTTTTAACCTGAACTTGTATGTAAATAGGAATAAGTCAATTTTTCTTGTAAAATCCTGCACTCGGCTCCACTTTTCTCATGTTGGACATTTTTCTGATGAGGGTGTCACGGTCAACAGTCAAAACGATCGTCCTTTAAGAGCGTTTGGAAAGAGACAAGTCTTCATTTGTGCTGCTCTGGTGGGAGGGGCCACGTACAGAGACACTGCTCTGCTCAGCACCGCAGAAAATTAACAATATTTTAATAGAAAATATAATTCAAATATTTTAGTAGAAAATCAGCCGAGGGCCAGATTGACACTCGTATGTTTGACTGTTTTAATGGTTTGAAAATATATGACAGCTTTAAAAGTAATATTATGAATGCTATTGTAGAAAAACTACTGATTTTTTTAAATCTCTAATAACGCTCTAATCAAATGTTAAAAGCTTAAAGAACCTGTATGTGAGTCTTACAGCACTACAATCTAATGCACAACAATCACAACTGAACTGTGTCTCCAGAGCCTTCACCTGCAGACAGAGACAAGTCCAGATTTGTCTCAATCTCAGTTTATGTTCAGGTCTCAAGTGAAAACTCAGAACCTCCAGAATTGACTCACTGAGCTGTACAGGCTGCACTAGCACTGATTGAAATGGAGCAATAGTGTATGCAGTCCTTCTTTTGCTACAACACATGCATTTAACAATAGCAGCTTGTCACTTTCTACATTAAAAGAGTCTCTGTGATTATTGTGCGACTTACGGCAGGGGGTACTTCTTCCACAGCAGTTTGGGCGACAGTGTCTGGTACACGGTCTTCTGCTTGCCCTCAGAGCTCCCCTTGCTGCTCTGGATGATTTTGGCACTCTCCATCTTGTCGTCCCAGGTCCCAGAGAGGATGTAGTGAGCCTGGCCCACGCTGTCCGACACCACCCCGGTCACCTGAGCACACGCAGAGCCAGCGCAGGGAGACGATCACACATTTGGATGGAAATTGATAGGAAGAGTTGTTGTTTTTTCACTTTCCATTTGACTTTTCAGGAGTCAAGTGTGGCAAAAGCTGGAGATATAACAACAGACTATTTACTTTGTGTTAAAAATCAGACCGCAGATGCTGCAGTGTTGAGCGGGGGCCAGCAGGGGGCAGTGACACATCACTGAACCACCTCATGCTTACACTGGACATGTAACACATTTTGAACTACGATAAATTGCTGAAGTAAAAATAGATGATAAACAATGATACTGAAACCAAAACATGAAGCATAATTACCACAAAAAGTATAATAAATGTGCAATACTGTTAAAAATATCAACAGCAATAAATAACAGAACACAACAATTAAATGGTCCATATTATGCAATTTTCTGATCTCTTTTCTAATGTCGTTTCCTCATCAACAAACTGAAGCTGAAGTTGTGTTTTGTTTCATTCTCACATGTTTAACACACAAACTTTTAGGTTGAGTTCTTCTCTTGAACTGAAAACACTCTGTTCCACCTTGTGATGTCATGTGGTAATGCAGAAAGTGCTCCACTGTGTTTTTTAAACTCCATACAGTGGAATCATTTGGATGATTTCAGTCCTGGAAATACCAATCTCTACTGAAGTAACGGTAAAATGTAGCTGTTAACATGAACTACCACGTCATGACATCATAAGGTGGAATAGAGCATGTTGAGCTTTGGAGATGCAGACAGACTAATATTAAAGAGCTAATCAAACATGTGTGAATGAAACAAAACACAACTGCAGCTCTGTTTTTAAGGAGGGAACAACATTCTAATAAGAGACAGTTTTGTGTAATAAACATTCGACCTTTAAGGAGTTTGTTTGTATATATAGTCACATTATCAAGTTCATTATTCAACTTCTACAGCTCAAATCTCAGTTTGGTGAAGAAAAATAACAAAAAGTTTCTCAGTGACACAAAGAATAATAATCCCCAAATATGATCATTCCATCTGTCATGTGATGAACGATACAGCCAGTATCATGACAGGTCTACTCATGCACACACACACACACACACACACGCACACTCACACACACACACACACACACACACACACACACACACACACGCACACACAAACACCGACGCACACACACTCACAGACATACACTCACACACACACACACAGACACACACACACACGCACGCACTCACACAAACACACGCACACACACACACGCACACACACACATGCACGGACACACACACACACACATCAACATTGGGACTACACTGGGACTAAACCTGGACTAGACAGAACTAAACCCAGACCAAGTCTATGTTGGGACATAAAAATGCTGGAATCAGGAGTAAACACAGTGTGAACATGCCCTTAATCTGGACTTTCACACCTAAACTAGTTGAAATGGAGACCAAACCAAATGAAAATCATGCTGCCTCCTCCAAAAACAAAGACTAAACCAGATGTAAACCAGGTCTAAACCAGGTCTAAACCAGATCTAAACCAGGACTAAACCAGGTCTAAACCAGGTATAAAACCAGGACTAAACCAGGTCTAAACCAGGTCTAAAGCCCAAGCTCAGCCTGAGGAAAAGATAATCTAACTCTGTACTAAGAACAAAACAAAACTAAGAACAAAACAGGACTAAAAAATAGAACTGAACGATTTTGAAAATAATAGAATTCTGTTCAGTTTACATTTTAAAACACAAACTAATACAAGAATCACATTTCAGAACACGTTTGTATAGATATAAAGTGCAGGATTAGCATCTTTTATGCAGAAAAACACAGGAGATTTTGTTGTTTGTGGAGAAAAGACAGTGTTTCAAAAATCACATGCTTTAGTTTCTGCTAATTGCGTCTATTCACATTGCACTTTTGATTCAATCGAGATGAATCTTGCCGTAAATCTTCCTCAGGTCATGGTTTTCTTTGTCTCTTTTCTACGTTCACTGTAGTAGTCTAGCATCAGTCTAGCTTTTTTTTCGTAACCCAGACCTAAACACGTGGACATGAGGAGGACGAGGACAGGTCTGGACAGCTCGGGGGGTGTGAGCGAGCAGAGGAGGGGAGGGACGGTACCTTTCGCGGGACATCCCTGGAAAAGTAGCTGTACGGGGAGAACTTGAGCTGACAGCTGTCTTTGGTCCTGTGGTTCACGATCTCTATGTCTCCAGACTGAAAACACACACACACAAACACACACACAGGTTAGACTGAGCATGAAACTAACTGTACATAACGTTAGTCTGCAGTGTTGGGAAGGTGATTTTTAAAATGTATTCCCCTACAGATTACAGATTACATACACCAAAATGTAGTTTGTAACATAATCCATTAAATTACTTAAAATGAGTAATGTAATCTGAATACTTTGGATTACTTGATTTGCTGTAGAGAAGCAAAGACGAGGAAATCTTCACATAAGAAGTTTTATCTGCTAAAAGAAAATAAAAAGCCCAGACTTTACTGAACCAGATTAAAAATATTATTGATAGAAGAGAAGCATGGTTTAGTCCTGTTTTAGGCCTGGTTTAGATCTAGTTTAGACCTGGTTTAGACCTGGTTTAGATCTAGTTTAGACCTGGTTTAGATCTAGTTTAGACCTGGTTTAGACCTGGTTTAGATCTAGTTTAGACCTGGTTTAGACCTGGTTTAGACCTGGTTTTACTCCTGGTTTAGACCTGGTTTAGACCTGGTTTTACTCCTGGTTTAGACCTGGTTCAGACCTGTTTTAGACCTGGTTCAGTCCTGGTTCAATCCTGATTTAGTCCTGGTTTTAGTCCTGGTTCAATCCTGATTTAGTCCTGGTTTTAGTCCTGGTTTTAGTCCTGGTTCAATCCTGATTTAGTCCTGGTTTAGTGTCCAGCAATGAGTGGAATTACAAAAAAAAAAAAAAAAAGGAATACAGCCCAAAATGTGAAAACAGGAAAATACCGCCATGTAATCCATGTATTTCAACAAAGTAACTGTAACCGAATACAGTTACTCATAATTTGTACTCTGATTACATAACGCCGGTACATGTAATCTATTACTCCCCAACACTGTTAGTCTGACAGCATAACACAAAACAGAAGATCATAAATGAATCAAAATATAGATGGATGTAAAAATGTATCTTTTGTGAGCTATAAGATGGACCAGGGATTGGCAAATATTTTAATTATTACTTTGCCCTCTTAAAAATTAACAGCTGAATTAAAGTGTATGTATATATCTGTAGTAATTAAGTTCATTATAGGTAATAAACAAACAAACAAACAAAAAACATGCTTCTCTGAATGGCCATTTATTTGCTTGTCTACATTCTAAAGAGTGTTCTGCTGCCCAAACTCTGACCTCTCCCTCCTCCACAGATCTGACCCTCTCACAGAAATACACAGATAAACTCCAGTCCTGATGAAGCAGAGTCAGAGGAGCAGAGGAGCAGGTTCAGAGGAGCAGAGGAGCAGGTTCAGAGGAGCAGAGGAGCAGGTTCAGAGGAGCAGAGGAGCAGAGCCAGAGGAGCAGAGGAGCAGAGCCAGAGGAGCAGAGGAAGAGGAGCAGAGCCAAAGGAGCAGGTTCAGAGCAGGAGAGAAAGAGGAGCAGGTTCAGAAGAACAGAGAAGCAGAAAAGCAGAGGAGGAGGGGCAGTTCTGGGCCCACCTGGTCAATCCACAGTTTGCCCACAATGATGTTGTGCACGGTGGAGGTGACCTTCCTCCAGACGTAGTGGTTCCCAGACGAGTGGAACTGCAGGTGGATGGCCCCTTAAACACACACACACACACACACAGAGTTTACATTGACATACATGAAGTTCCCTTAGACCAACCATAAATCATGAATACATGCTCAACCTAACCTGAACCCTAACTGATTTTTATTAGTCATTATTTGTATTCATCTGGAGTTCTTTCTCTGGAGGGATGACGCATCTTTCAGTGCTTCCTGGGGTCCAGTTAAAGACAGTTTCCTTCATTATTTGATGTATGCTCAAGAATATAGTTTAGGCTGGTCCATCACAGAATGGTAAAAAATAAAGTTTCAGAGAACCTCGATTAGAGCCCTGCATTAGGTTTTAGTATCCAAACGATGATTTAGGAGGAAATATGGAAGAAAAAGGAGATGTTTTAGAGGGTGCTGCCACAGTAAACATTCAAGAAATAACTTTAACAGCTTTTCAGTACTACCTAAACCTAACCGCCATCTTTGGTGCTTGAATGAAGAAATGTTTGGCTGGAATTCGACTCCAGTGTGACAGAAGAACAGAAGAAGCTGATTGGTTCACAATATTATGGAACAGGAAGGTTCAGAGGTTCCACCAAAGCGACGGGACGCCCTTAATCAAGCAGATTATGAAGGGAAGAAGATCAAAGATTTTGTCACCACCAGCAGGATGCGTTTCTTCAAAGCTCTTGATCTGCCAAAAACATTTGGAACAATTCCCAAAAAATTCAAAGAGCACAGGAGCATCTTTAGTGACGCCAACAAAGCCACAGTGGAGCTGCTCTTTCTAAGTAACTTTTTATGGACTTTATGGACTTTGTAGGCAGATTTTATGAACTTTCTAAGTATTTTTTATGCAAGTTTCAGTTTGTGTTTGCAGACTAAGATGACATATTATTTATTTGGTTGGTTATATTATAGTAATTTTCAAGTATCTTGAGCAACCTCTAAATATGAATGAATTTGCATAAAATTTTAACCCAAATATTTTGGCCAGATATGGAACCAAATGCAGGTTTCTAATACAGAGAATCTAAAAAAAAAACTATTGGACCACCCTAATATAGATGTAGAAAATGTACAAATAATCAACAATGTTTAACAAGAAATTGAAAATAAATATTATATGAAATATCATACTATCAAAAACTGAGCACAGGTACGTCTTTGGTTACTACATTAGAATATGGTCGCACAGGTGTATCTATAGCAGGGGTGAGCAAACAATAGCCCGGGGGCCATATGTGGCCCTTTAATCTTTTTAATCCGGCCCTTGAATAATAATAATAATTTTCAGTGTTTTAAATGTCATTTCAGTAAATAGTAAATACTGTGGAACTTGAAAGACAGATACTTTGTTGTAATGATTTTCAATTATGGGATATCTTTTCTACATATCCCATGTTATTTTTTTCTCTTACCAAAAAACTCCATCCCTGTGCTCCTGGTCCGGCCCTTCCATCAAATTTTCGAACCCTTTGTGGCCCACGAGTCAAAAAGTTTGCCCACCCCTGATCTATTGTAATAATGCAGGATTTTTTATCGTGCTTTTCCAGATGTTCAGAGGTGTAATGGTTGGTGTGGTGCTTGGTCTTACCCAGCGGCATGATGGACAGGTACTTCCCTCTGAACTTGCTGGCGATGGTGATCTCCTGCCACAGGGTCCAGCCTCTCTGTGAGATGACGTGGTGGGCAGCAGCCGGAGGGTGATGACTGACCTGAGCACACACACACACACACACACACAGGTCAGACACAGACACACACACACAGACACACACAGGTCAGACACACATAGAGAGACACACACAGGTCCGACACAGACACACACACACAGACACACACAGGTCAGACACAGACACACACACAGACACACACAGGTCAGACAGGGGCTCAGCAGCTCCCTCTCTGTGTGTTACAGTACATAAAGCTAAACATCCAGTGATGTTACTACAGTTATTCTCTATGATCTTACATTCCCTATATTGTTTTTATCTTTTAAATCATTTGAACAGGTCATGCACACTTTTGTCTCCTCCCGTTTGGACGACTGTAACACATTTTTCTCTCAGACTCCAGCATTTTCTCGCTTACAGTTGGACCAAAATTCTGCTGCGCGCCTTTTAACTGGAACCAAAAAACCTGTTCTCTGCCTTTTAACACTGCGTAAGTCGTGTGCTCCTCTGTGTCTTTTATTTATTATATTTATTTTACTTATTTACTGCTATTTAATGATTTTTACGGTTTTGCTTTTATGGTTTTATTGTTTTAGAACTGGTGTGATCAAATTTGAACAATTTACCTTTGTGTCTTCACTTTGGAAACTGCTTTGTTTGTAAAATGTGCTATAGCAATAAAGTGGATTTGGAATTTTCAAAAGTGTATTTTCTGTTAGGTGTGGTTTTCAACACAACATAGTAGGGGGCGTGGTCAGGTGTGGGAGAATACAAGTCAAAGATGTTTGCCAGCAGATTCTGTGTCACTGGCATGATGATACCTTGGAAAAGTATGTTCTGTTGATGTTAAAATACAGCAGGTGGAGCATCATGATAGCATGTAGGATACATCTACTATTAGCATTCTTGGATATTCATGCATGTTTGTTGCTCTTGTAGTTGTTGAGGTTTTTGGCTTTGTTTTCCCAAGGAGGTGTTGAGATCTTCTGTTGGTGGGAGCTCCTCTCATCTGCCCACTGTATCTGTGCGGTATCTGTACCCTGTCTATGGAGATGTAATCACTTTGCTTAGAATGTTTCACAGAAACCTGTACTGTGCTTTGCATATATTTGATAATTTCTAATAATACAACTGTAAAAGTACTACAGCATTGCACCTATTAAATACATTTCCCCATCTTTATCTTAGAAGTCATACTGATCTTAAAGCGATAGTTTGGATTTTTTGACATAAATCTCTATGTCATCCCCGTGAGCAGTGTCGTGCATCCACACTGACTTACCCCCGACAGCGTCCGGTGAACCGAGATACTGGCCGTTTTCGGTGCTGACGAAAGTAGTCCGGCAAGTTGGCTGGGGACTGTATAATAAAGTGTTTTTCTTCTCAAAACAATCTGTGTTCAAAAGAGTGATACATTTGCATCACAAAACTTTTGTCCTCAAAAAAGTCAGACCTCATTATCGCTTGGAACTATTTTCTCTCCGTTCGTATCACTGCGCCAGGCCGCCAGGTGACAATCACTTTCTTCAGTTGTTTGGCAGTGGTTACGTGCTCAGCTCGCCGCGACGCGAGAGAGCTAACGTGAGAGCTAGAGCGATAAGTATATAAGCTTGTATAAGATACATAAGAATATATCTAAAAAATGGTGCGGACTTGTGATTATCAAGGCTGTAACAACACAAATCTGACACAATCTCTAAGCACATTTCACCATTTTCCTTTTTTCCTGTCACGGACAAACGCTTTATTTTAATGTCCCCAGCTAACTTGCCAGACTGCTTTCGTCAGCACCTAAAACGGCCAGTATCTCAGCTCAGAGGACGCTGTCGGGGGTAAGTCAGTGTGGATGCACGACACTGCTGACGGGAATGCCATACAGATTCATGTCAAAAAACCCAAACTATCCCTTTAAACCCATCCTGTTGTCCCTGGGCCGTCTGATGCTCTACCTGCTCACACAGGGAGCGGTAGCCCTGCTCGTCCAGGCGGTCCAGCTCGTAGGTCTCCCCCAGCAGAGGGTTGAAGGGTTTGGCGGTGCGGTGGACCGTGGTGGAGTAGGAGGACACGGAGAAAGCGGCCACCAGACACATCTGCTCCAGAGACGACTCGCAGCGCGCGGCTTTGTCCAGGAGCTCACTGTACTCCAGGTCCTCTGAGAGCCGCTGCAGCATGGACAGGGGCTCATTAAAGTTCACCTGAGGACACAGAGGAGGACACGGGCTTTCAAGTTGCTCTAGTTCTGACTCGGTTTGGTGGATAGTGTCAGTATTCACAGTAGTAGTACCTCAGCTAAATGATACTTCATGGAAAATCAACACAGGCAATTTAAAAGGCCCATTGCACATTATCCTCATCACAAACAAAGCTGAGTTGAGTTGTGTTCCATTCACACATGTTTAACTCACAAACCCACACATTTAGGCTGAGTTCTCCTCTCAGACAGAAAATACTCTGTTCCAACTTGTGATGTCATGTAGTAATACAGGAAGTGCTCCACTGTGTTTTTAAACTCCATACACCTCCACATTTGGATCATTTCAGCGACGATCATTTCCAATCTTTTCTGAAGGTAGCTGTTGAAAATTTAAAAACTTCTGCTTCATGACATCACAAGGTGAAACAGAGCATTCTGAGCTGTGGCGCTGTAGACAGACTAATAATAAAGGGTTACTTAATGTTCCTATATGAAGCTGCACATATAGAATTGTTATTGTTATTGCAGGGGTTCAAGATCTTTTCCTGCTCCACAAAAAAGATACACAAACCAACCCTCAACCCCCTCTACCAAGACAAACCAGTGTATTAAAACATTAGTATTCTTTAATCATTGGACACCATTGTTTTTGACCATATTTGATCCCTTAGAACAGGGGTGTCAAACTTATTTTGGTCCGGCGGCTGTATCCAACCTACTTTGATCCCAAAGGTGCCGAAAAAAAAAAAAAAAAAAAGGCATATATACCCCTAAAATAGCAATAAGTTCAAATATTTGTGAAACGCAAATCTATTACAGAAATCTTTTTTAATTGATGAACTCTTTCTTTTACAAAATATTATCATATTATGAACAACCTGAAACTTTAAGAAAAATGCAATTTCAATACAATGTTTTAACATGAACTTGTTTGCAAATAGGAATAAGTCTATTTTTCTTGGAAAATCCTGCACTAAGCGTCCACTTTTCTCATGTTGGACATTTTTCTGATGAGGGTGTCACGGTCAACAGTCAAAACGATCGTCCTTTAAGAGCGTTTGGAAAGAGACAAGTCTTCATTTGTGCTGCTCTGGTGGGAGGGGCCACGCACAGAGACGCTGGAGACGCTGCTGTGCTCAACGCCGCAGAAAATTAACAAGATTTTAATAGAAAATATAATTCAAATATTTTAGTAGAAAATCAGCCGTGGACCAGATTAAAGGTCTTGGAGGGCCAGATCCAGCCCTCGGGCCATATGTTTGACAGCCCTGCCTTAGAAGTTAGGATCGACTTTAACAAAACTTTAGACTTTAGAGGGTGGTGTATATTTAATTACTCCAAAAGAAAAAGAAAAAAATCAGTTTGACAGGGATTACACTGACATGACACTGACACCAAAAGTGAACAACTGCTGTAACTGTGGATAGTTCATGCCATAATTGGCTTGTAACTTTTGAAACAGACAAGAGGATAATGCCAAGCCTGAGAGTGAAAATGATAGTGACTCCCAGAGGTATGAAGAGTCACTAAAAATTATACTTGACTAAGAATACTATTACTTCACCATAGTAATATTAGTCAGGTAAAAGTATTTTGAAAGTATTTTGAAGCTGAGTATACTCACCGGCATGGGGATCTTGGAGAGCTCCTTGCCGATGCAGTTCTTCATGATGCTCCACAGGTTGAGGGAGTAGTTGGGTTTGTCTGGGATGTGTGTGCGCCGGAGCCTGCGGGGCCCCAGGTCCCGACTGGAGACATGGTTACAGCCCGGAGAGCCCTGAAGGACATGAGGAAGAGAGAAGAGTGAGAGAAGACGAGAGGAGAGTAAGGGAAGAGGAGAGTGAGAGATGAGTAGAGGAGAGTAGAGGAGAGGTATAGACCCCCCCCCACACACACACACACAACAATAACTTTATCCACATGGTTTACTGTGGAGTGTGTGAGTCTCTCGTTCATAAGTGTAACCTCCTTATTTATGATTTTAGTGAGGAGCATTGCCACAGCAGGTCAGTATGTGACATGTGTATGTGGTATTAACTAGGACATATTTAGATCACCATGTTTCCTTTTATTGGTTTGAAAATGCTAAATTATCTGGAAATAACTTATCAACATGTTTAATAAGTTTCACTTTTATTTTTGTTGTTCCCACTGCCCTTGTCCCCATGCAAAGTCCCTCATCCCTGTTCAGAGCTTCAGATCCTTGTACAGGATCATACTGCCAACTGTAAGGAGCACCCTGGAGACACTCATGCACAGGTGACCCCAACATGGTACAGATATTCAGATGCTCACTGAGGTTCCACGGCCGTGAACAAGGTGAAAAGCCCATGAGCACGCAGTCACTCCACTGTCTTTACACTCTGTCTAACTGGCTTTGGCCAGCAGAGCATCCAGTGCCATCCAGTGACACCCAGAGCCACCCACAGCCACCCAGAGCCACCCAGTGACACCAAGTGACACCCAGTGACCCAGAGCATGGCAGGCTATAAGAAGCCAGGCATGTCTCACATTGCATCATGGGATATTTGGAGCTCATGTAAAATGAGCCAATCAGGAATGGAGCCAAAGGTCCACAGTACAGTCCAGGGCAGTGCACAGGGCACGGGGCAGGACATGGGCAATACATGGGCAGTACATGGGCAGTACATGGGCAGTACATGGGCAGTACATGGGCAGTACATGGGCAGTACATGGGCAGTACACAGGGCAGTACACAGGGCAGTACATGGGCAGTACATGGGCAATACACAGGGCAGTACATGGGCAGTACATGGGCAGGATATGGGTAGTACACAGGGCAGTACATGGGCAGTACATGGGTAGTACACAGGGCAGTACATGGGCAGTACATGGGTAGTACACAGGGCAGTACATGGGCAGGATATGGACAGTACATGAGCAGTACACAGGGCAGTACACAGGGCTTTACGCAGAGTGTGTATACTGTATGTGTTCTTATGTGAAGTAAGTGGAAGCATGTAAGCAAGGACTGTACAGGCTGGGCTTGTATCAGGGCTGTCAGAAGTATTGAAAATCAGATACCAATCCAGAGTAAAACTAGTATAGAAACTCGATACTCATTTGAGGAGGTACTGATACTAAAAAGTCCCATTCACAGGAGAGAAATGAAATTTCCAGAATGTGTTTAGAATGATGTTGAGCTGCATCAGAACAAGTAGAAGACACATAGACTAGTACACACATGGAGCACAGAGAGGTTACACAGATATGAGGCCACATGGGAACAGAAAAGAAAGTTCTACCATTTATTATCACTGTGGTACCAAAGTCAATATTGAGTATCAAGACTATTCCTCAGTATGAAAATGACGTTTGAAATGTTCCTGTGGTGACAGCACTATAGGTCCTAACATGTGTGAGGGTGTGTTGTGGAGCAGATTTCATACATGGTCGTCCTGGCTCCAGTCACTGTTGGGACCTGCGCCGGCTCCACTCAGGTTACTCTGGGACCTCCTGGAGAAGAACAGGAGAACAGACCAGGATGAGAATCAGAATCCAAATACAAGTTCAAATATACTGGTAAACCTGAAGACACACTTTCTGTGCTGTCTGTATTCAAAGTAGTGAAAGGCCAAACTAGAAACACTTCAAGAGGTCAAATTAGAGCTGCACAAAATCACAATCAGTAATAAAAGTTGCAACAACAACAGTTCTTTAGATAGTAGAAAAATCCTCTGCAAACAACACACTGTCCTGTCCTCTTTTTATTGAACCACTGTCGTACCAGACAAGTGTAACACACATGTCTCTAAACCCAGAGGATCAACTAATAACCTTTCATTAAATGTGCACTGTGTAACTTTTCTTTTGAAGGGTATGCCACCTCCTTGTCTCCATGGAGATGATTTAGCCTGAAATGTTCAACAGTAGGACAATGAAGGTTCTATATTACACCAAATGGATTCTTGTGATCATGTTAGAATGTTATCTCCTCAAAAACATACTTATAGTTGTGTTGTGTTTCAGTCACATATGTTTGAGTAATCCTTTAATATTAGTCAGTCTACATCTCCAATGCTCAAAATGCTCTGTTCCACTTTGTGATGTCATGGAGTGGTAGTTTTCAAGTTATCAACTCCTTTTACCTTTAGAAGAACAAGAACTCAGCTTAAATGTGCAGAGTTTGTGTGTCAAACATGTGTGAATGAAACAAAACACAAGTCCAGGTGTTTTTGTGATCAGGGAATGACATTAGAACAGAGATCAAAATATAACCTGATATGGGCCCATTAAACAAGCAGCACCAGGCAAAGGTACAGTTCAGATCTGTGGAGATGCAGTCCTGCTCACAATAAGAATGCATAATATATATGTTTTTTTAGGTTAGGTTAGGGTTAGGTTGCTTTATTTGTACGTGTATGTAAATTTGTTTTGCAGATTTGAGAGACTGGTTATTTTACATCTCATGTATCGACACATACACATAAAACACACACATATATAAAACACAGACATATATAAAACACACACACATAAAACACACACATATAAAACACACACATATAAAACACACACATACACCACACACACATGGGTCCGGTCAAATGATAACGGAGGGAAACGGGGGCAGATTTTTGACATTCAAATGTCTCTTATTCAGAAACTAGAGGGACTATTGAAATAAGTAAAGTATCAGAATGTAGGAAAGAGTTACACTCCAACAGGGTAAAGTTAAACCTGTGATATTCTTTCAAGTTGTTGACAAAAAATTTAAAAACTCATGTCGGTAACGGAGGGAATGAAATATGCAGCACTTTTTGGGCAATAAATCCAAACAGTGATAACTCTTGGTTCTCACTTCCATATCCTTAACAAACTGGTTTGAATATTTACTTCATATAGTTTTCTACCATATGGTACAAGATTAGGTTGAAAAACCTCTTACTTTTTGAGTCATGAGATTTTTTATTAAGAAAGATCATGGTAACGGAGGGAAAAGTAACGGAGGGAAAATTTCTCAGCTTTTTTCTTCTGAATACTTTAATATTACTTCAAAATGAAAGGAAACTATTTCTATAAAATATGTCAGTCCTTCCAAGCTAATTTTTATCATTTTAAATACTTTTTTTTTTTTTTTAATCCTGTACCTTCATCAACAGTTCAAAGATGGAATAACACAAGATATGATGAAATACATCCATTTATTTACATGATTTTCAGGTCTTTGAAATTTGGGAAATAATTTTTGTTCCATGTTTCATACATGGTCTGTTTAAAACATATGGAACTTTAGAACCAAAAATGGTACAGAAAAAAGGTCAACAGTTTCATAAACTAGAGTACATATGTATCTGTTCAATACATTTTTATATCAGATGAATTAACTTGAATTTTTGGCCTTGATGTTTACTTCTGCTTGACCGGGCCCAGATATAAAACACACACATACACCACACACACACACATACACCACACACACATACACCACACACACATACACCACACACACACACATATAAAACACACACATACACCACACACACACACATACACCACACACACATATAAAACACACACATACACCACACACACACACATACACCACACACATACACCACACACACACACATACACCACACACACACATATAAAACACACACATACACCACACACACACACACATACACCACACACACACACATACACCACACACACACATATAAAACACACACATACACCACACACACACACATATAAAACACACACATACACCACACACACATATAAAACACACAGGTACAATAAAGAGGTACAGTGCTCCAGTGCACACTGCACCCGTAGCTGTAGCTGAAGAAATGCTACACAGATCTGTTTAAAGCCGCCCTGTGGAACATTCCAGGCAAAGCAGTCACATCTCCATGGAAACAAGAAGGTGGCAGAAATCTGAAAGTTCCAGAAAGTTATGAGCACACAGAGTGTCAGCCTTTCCGTGTAATTTAGGAGGCAGTCAAATGAGAATGTTTGGCCCTGGAGACTGGAGTTTATTTAGGGAGATTACGTTTGGCTAGCAACAACACTTTACCAGATCTGTACCAAAAACAGACAAACTGCATCTTCATCAACCTTTTTCTGCTGTAATTTATGACAGAGATAATTACTTTTAAGAACCACAAAGACAGACTCATAACCTATTACATCAGGACTACACCAGGACTACACCAGGACTAAACCAGGACTACACCAGGACTAAACCAGGACTAAACCAGGACCACACCAGGACTAAACCAGGACTAAACCAGGACTAAACCAGGACTAAACCAGGACTAAACCAGGACTAAACCAGGACTAAACCAGGACTAAACCAGGAGTACACCAGGACTAAACCAGGACTAAACCAGGACCACACCAGGACTAAACCAGAAGTACACCAGGACTACACCAGGACTAAACCAGGACTAAACATGGACCACACCAGGACTACACCAGGACTAAACCAGGACTAAACCTGGACCACACCAGGACTACACCAGGACTAAACCAGGACTAACCAGGACTACACCAGGACTAAACCAGGACTAAACCAGGACTAAACCAGGAGTACACCAGGACTACACCAGGACTAAACCAGGACTACACCAGGACTAAACCAGGACTAAACCAGGACCAGGACTACAGGACTACAGGACTAAACCAGGACCACCAGGACTAAACCAGGACTAACACCAGGACTAAACCAGGACTAAACCAGGACTACACCAGGACTAAACCAGGACTAAACCAGGACTAAACCAGGACTACACCAGGACTAAACCAGGAGTACACCAGGACTAAACCAGGACTAAACCAGGACTTAAACCAGGACTACACCAGGACTAAACCAGGACTACACCAGGACTAAACCAGGACTAAACCAGGACTAAACCAGGACCACACCAGGACTACACCAGGACTAAACCAGGACTAAACCAGAAGTACACCAGGACTAAACCAGGACTAAAACTGGACCACACCAGGACTACACCAGGACTAAACCAGGACTAAATCAGGACTAAACCAGGAGTACACCAGGACTACACCAGGACTAAACCAGGAGTACACCAGGACTAAACCAGGACTAAACCAGGACTACACCAGGACTAAACCAGGACTAAACCAGGACCACACCAGGACTAAACCAGGACTAAACCAGGACCACACCAGGACTAAACCAGGACTAAACCAGGACTAAACCAGGACTAAACCAGGAGTACACCAGGACTAAACCAGGACTAAACCAGGACTACACCAGGACTAAACCAGGACTACACCAGGACTAAACCAGGACTAAACCAGGACTAAACCAGGACTAAACCAGGACTAAACCAGGACTAACCAGGACCAGGACTAAACCAGGACTAAGCCAGGACTAAACCAGGACCACACCAGGACTAAACCAGGACTAAACCAGGACCACACCAGGACTAAACCAGGACTAAACCAGGACTAAGCCAGGACTAAACCAGGACTAAGCCAGGACTAAACCAGGACCACACCAGGACTAAACCAGGACTAAGCCAGGACTAAACCAGGACCACACCAGGACTAAACCAGGACTAAGCCAGGACTAAACCAGGTCTAAGCCAGGACTACACCAGGACTACACCAGGACTAAAGGCCTATTCAAAGCAGGGCAGTTGTGTAAACATCATGCTGTGGGTCCATACACGTGCTGAGCAGAGATGGGCAGAGTAACCAAAAATTCTACAAAAGGGCACAGTCAAAATAATATTACTCAAATACTAGTAAAAGAAGTAGTAAAAGCAAAAAAGTACTACTCAAGTAAGAAGAACTTAAAGAGTAACTGTCAGGACTGATTTATAATTTCAAGTCAATGTATACGTGAGGACAAAACTTTCAATCATTCTTTGGTATTTTTAAAGAATGTCCTAAATCATATCTGAAGGAGCGGTGCAAGAAACACAAATGATCAAATGATTTCAGATTGTCAGCACTTGTACACTGCACTGCTACTCAAGTACAAGTAAAAGTCTGAAAAGTACAATTTTATTAAAAACTGACATATGAGTAAATGTACTTAACATAAATGAAACTTAATGTCTAAAACTGGTCTAAACGAGGACTAAACCAGGTCTAAACAAGGGCAAAATCAGAACTTAACCAAGACTTTGATGTAGCACTTTCATATTTGAGCTCCTTAATCTTTATCTTGAATCTTTATTTCTTTATTTCAGTGTCATTTGTCGTGTGTGATGATGGTCTGTGGGTGTGTTTAATGTCTCACGGAGCACGTTGAGCCTCTTGCACATCCAACCGTCACACTAAGTCTTAGTAATGTTAACACCACCTCAAGACCTACAGCAGCTCTAAACTAAACATGTAACCATTTTGAAGCAGAACTAAACCAGACCAAACCCCAGTCAGTCACACGTGGGCCTTACCTGCGCAGCATGTTGTCACTGGTTGTCACGGTGATGAAAGCGGGCGAGTCCTCCATGGCGTCGAAGTACTCGGTCTCCTCATCCTCGTCACTGGGCTCCTCTTTGGGCGCGCTCTCACTCCCCTCTGCTCACACGCGCACACACACACGCAGACACACAGTAGACTTTAATGAGTGACCCATGGCACCTGATCAGCTGTAATCTGTTTAAATAGTGCAGCTAAGTGAGTTAGTGTGTGTTACAGTGCGAGGTGAATATTCTAAAGAGTGGTTCAAACACACTGTTCGGGGCTCACACACGAGACCACAGGCCTTTAACAATCCTACAGTCACAACACAACTACAGTAGACTTCTCTGGAAATGTGAGACCTGGAATCAGTTCTTTTAGGCTACGTTCAGACTGCAGGGCTTAATGCTCAATTCCAATTTTTTTTTTGGTGAAATCCGATGTTTTTGCGAGGTCGTTCACATTTCCAATTAAATGTGACTTGTATGTGACTCCAGTGTGAACATTAAACAGCCCAAAAGTGTCCCACATGTGCACTGGAGACACGACGACGTCAACCGCAGTGAGCGTCTCTGTGTTTACAGAAGTTGTCCAAACATGGACTCGAGCATCGAGCACCTGGAGATTTTAAAGTTCCTCTCGTACTGGAGCCAGAACATGAACAACTTACTTGTTTTAAGGAGGAGATTGAGAAGGAGAAGGACGAGGTTTTTGGTCGTGGTGTTTTGTGGGACAGCGTCTGTTGAAAGGAACGTGTGGATGTGGAGACGTAGCCAAGAGTGGTGAGTGGTGATGTGCTTCACTTCAGTGACACGGAGTTCATTAACAATTTTCATATGACGAGAAGAACGTTTGTGTACATTTGTGTCTTGTTGATAACGTGTAGGTCGGATTCATGCACTTTGGTCGTTCAGACTGAAGTCGCATGTCAAAAGATCAGATATGCATCGGTTTCAGGAGCACATTTTGAAGTGTCCTGGGTCACATTTGAAAAAATCGGATCTGTGTGGTTCAGACTGTCATTAAAAGATCAGATACAGGAACATAGGGGCCAAAAAATCAGATTTGGGTCACTTCAGGCTGCAGTGTGAACGCAGCCTTAGACTTCATAACATGTATAAGCACAGTGAGAAATGCATATTTAAAGGATATCATATGCAAATGTCCATCATATGCAAGGGTTCATGGGAGAAAACCTTGGCACAGTAGATAAGTGTTTTGCCTTCCAGCCAGGTTTAAAACTTGCTCACAGCTCATAAGTAAAGGACTACTGAGCAGCTCCTCAGACTGTTTCCTGTGGCAGGACGTCAGGGTTTAATAACATTAGTGACTGATTTGAAACATATGATCTTAAAGGAACTATATGTAGTCTGTGCTCTTACTGGTTTAAAAAGTATTACAATCACAACTGAACCTGTGTCTCCAGAGCTTTAACCTGCAGATATATGGACACTAGGGATGGGCATTCGATTAAATTTTCTCAATCGATCATCGAGAGAATTAACGATCGATTATCGATTAATCATTAACGTTTTTATATTAAAATGATCATCATTATTATTACTATCTGCACTACTAATCTGCATAATCTCTAGAGCCACATCAGCCCATTTGACATTATAATGTGTTTAATGCAGATTTGTGCAAGTCTCACAGAAACAAAACTTAAAACCACATCACAAATTTACATAAACTAAACCAAGAAAAAAAAAACCTCTTGTGCGCTGATGCGGCACGACTCAGTGGAATACAGGTTAGTGTGACCATATTTGCATTTGTCAAAACCAGGACACTGTACGGGGGAGGGAGGTGGGGTCTCGTCATCGACATTGAACGACTCTCACCTGGCAAAGCTTTTTCATGCCCATCCCTAATGGACACATCCAAGTTTGTCTCATTCTCACTTTATGTTCAGGCCTCATGTGAAGCTCAGAACCTCCAGAATTCCCTCCTTGAGCTGCAGAGGCTGCACTAGCACTGACTCGTGACTGGGGCAGGTGCTGGGGTTCAGTGAGTGAGAACTGGTTTAATGCCACAGGATCTTGATACCCAAAGTGATGTCGTTGGCAGAGTGGTTAGCGTGTTGCAGATGTATAAGAGCTTGTGTCAGAGTAGTTAGCCACGCTGCACTGACCCTTGCTCAGACAGGGGGCGCTGCTGGGCGTGCTGGGGTGGCTGGGCTTCTCTCTCCAGGCGCGCTCCAGGCTGTTGTGCTGTTTGGCTAGCTGCTCAATGGTCTCCTCCAGGTGGGCCCTTTGCTCCCGCTCATACTGCAGAGCACGCTGCCATCTTCGGCTGTGGCTCTCTGCCAGGTCCAGGAAGTCCCGACACGC